CCCCTCCTACTCTATAGGTATTGAGTGCCTGGGGGCTCCCAAAGGCACATGCCTTTAGGCCAAGAGCCAAAGGGGCTCCTGTCTTTCAGCACTGATCCTCTGGGTCGCAGCCCTCAGCTGACAGAAATATCAGTCAGGAGAGATAGGAAGACTTGCTCTGTACTCAGAAACCTCCCTTCCCCCCTTTCTCTTGTTGATTTTAGTTGTATTTTCTCTTTTGTTATCATAAACCACTTTTGGGTCTCTACTGGGGAGAAAAGAGAGATACAAATAAATGAATAAATCAATAGTATACTCCTAATACGGAAATAGTCCAAGATAATATGATATAACGCGCAGGATAACCCCCCCCCCCCATAATGGGACCTTTGACTGTTTGCCACCCTACAGGCTTAGCAAGGGGATAGACATCAGATAACAGAGGGAATTCTGTACTTTGAGGCGAGCCAAAATTATGCAGTGTTTCCACCAACATTTTCTGCAGTGTTGGAAAAATGCCTCCCTTATTTGATGACTTTTTTTTAAGCCCCATGATATTTGTCTATGGAACCGAATTACTTCCTCCTTACCTCAGGGGAGCCAGCACAGGCAATTCCCTCACTTCCCATCCCAGGACAGCCTAAAAAAGTGGCGGCGAACCTATGGCACGGGTGCCAGAGGTGGCACTCAGAGCCCTCTCTGTGGGCACGTGTGCCATCGCCCCAGCCAGGCCCAGACCATCATTAAAGTGTCGAATTCTCTGCCAAATAATTTTAAGTAAATGAAACATTTGGGATTGCTTTCCTTACTTTGTTTGGATCATCTTAAGTTAATGTATGGGTTGTTTTTTCTAAAGTAAAACCTCAGTATTCAGGTTAAATTGCCGTGTTGGCACTTTGCGATAAATAAGTGGGTTTTGGGTCGCAGTTTGGGCACTCGGTCTCTAAAAGGTTCGCCATCACTGGCCTAGAATTACAGCAGATGCATTTCTACATCAGTATAACCTGCACTATGTGTGGCCAAAGGGGTGGTCCACAAGCAAGACACAGCCCCTTCCCTTCCAGTCTGTTTAGTTCGCTCCCAGAGGCTCCACTACACTTCAAGCAAGATGCAGCCGGAACTGTGCTCCTAGTTTCACTCACAAGAAATAAATTTGTTTCAAATGCTGTAAGAGATGTAGACGTTCCATAACAGCCTCCCTGCTTCCCTCCGTCCCTGCACCAGCCTTGTGACTCACTGGCTTTAGAAGGTAATATCCCAGCTGTGCTGATCGAGCTTGCCAGGATCCGTGACCCTCCCCACTCTCATAGCCTCCCACTCCAGTGCTCTTCACAACCTTGCCTCATCTTTCTACCTTGATTTTACCCGATACCCTGAGATCTCTGTTCTCTGTCAGCCAGTCACTCGGACCTTTTTGCCTTCAAATCCCCACCTCAAAATTCTTTTTCTGCAAACAGCCAGCTTGGTGTAGTGGATAAAGTGTTGTACCAGGATCTGGGAAACTCAGGTCTGAATCCTCACTCTGCCATGGTAACTTACTGGGTGACCTTTTGGGCCAATCACATCCTCTCAGCGTTACCTACCTCACAAGGGTTGTTGTGAGGATAAAACAGAGGAGAGGAGGACAAATAAGTCACTTTGGGCCCCCGCTGAGGAGAAAGGTGGGATTTAAATACAGTAAGTAAGTAAGTAAGTAAGTAAGTAAGTAAGTAAGTAAAGCTTTTGGCTTCAACCGCAAACTCCTCCTCCCCAAAAGAAGTCAGACCCTGAAACTTCAGTAGAAAAGAGCAAGAGTCCAGTAGCACCTTAAATATGTGGCAGGGTATGAGCTTTCGTGAGTCACTGTTTGCTTCCCTGTAGTGTTCCCCCCCCCCCATGCACTCACCCGGTGTCAACATTTTAGACTCCAAGTTTCTCAGGGCAGGGTGCCCTTTCTCCCCTCCCCCTCCCTTCTTGTGTTACTGTGCAAAGCGCTGGGTGGATTGATAGCATTCTAGAGTAACAAAGGACAGCAATTTCATTATAGAGCTGGGCCATCTGCGACTACAACAGTCTGTGTAGCAGAAAGCACTTCTGGTCACTGGAGGACACGCCAGCCTCTGAGAAGGTAGTAATGCCCACCCCTGACTAACGCCTGTTCTACACATTTAGCAGATGGAGGGCATCTTTTTATCTTTCTAGGGCACTTCGGACTCAACAGTAAGCAACACAACACAATAAGCTTAGTTTCTCCAATGCTAAGTAGCTGGTAAACCAATGTATGCAATAAATATATGGATCCAGCAATAGGATGAGAAATTAGAGACCGGGTTTAGCAAGTTAGAAGTCTAGACCAACAGCCCCTATTTCCTATCAGCACGTTAGAGCCCACAAATCCGTGGGCATGAAGTGGAGAGCATCAAGGCGGCAGAGTGGCCGGCATAATGTCAGACCTCAGGTGGAGAATCACTCCATGTTAAAAAATACCCTGTCAAGAGAAAGCAGAGGACAGAACCTGACTCCTGCTGGGTTACTTCTCCTACTTGCTTGGAGACTTTTTTGATGCAAAGGAACAGAAAGTGGGAATTCAGTACCTGAAGGCTGATGTGGTACAGTCCATTTTTCCTTGTTTGTTTTTGTCATGTGTCACCCAGATACAAATGAGGTGGCAGATTTCTGAGGTAATAAAATGGATTTACCATTATAGGTGGAAGGAGCCTTTATTAATGCACCCTCTTGCATAAATGACTCTTTTCAAGTATACAACTAGTCCAGCAGGTAGCTGGCTTGGCTACATCTGGTTTGGCTATATTCAGGACTTCTACTGAGCTGCTTTTGTGGAATTAAATAATAGAAAGTTTTAAACTTCCCCAAACTTCTGATAGTGGCACTTTTTCTGAATTAAAATTCATGGCACAATTCATCTGCATACTCAACAAGCTTTGCTTTCAGAATAAGAATTAATACTCTCAGAAGAGATCCCTTTCAGTGTTTCAGCATGTGTCATCGACCAGGACATTCCTCCTCTCCAGAAATAAAAGTCTAGAGCTGGGACTCATGCAGAGGCACAGTGCCTCCTCTGTGGGCAGGTAATTTTGCTTTGTGTCTACAGTGGGAGTGACTGAATGATCCAGTCATACCTGATGCAGTCATAAGGCAGAATGATCTGCCTCCACTGGAAGGAGACAATGCTACAGCAAGGAAGCATGCAGAGTCAGAGCAGGCAGACTCCTCTTTGGATGGGCACTTTAGCTCCCAGATGGTTTTCATTGTTTCAGTGCTATTTATTACAAGGATTAACTCTTTCTGCACTCGGAAGAGAGAGTTTAAACACCTTGGCTAAGGAGCTATTGTCAAATTAGAAGTGTTACAATGGCAACTGCAACAGATTAAAAAGTTTCTATTATTTAATTGCACAAAAGCAGCTCAGTAGAAGCCCTGAAGACCTGGCTAAGCTTGCTTTTCATCCACAGACTTGATACAGAAAGGGATCAGCGCTTCCAGTAGGAAATAAGAAAAGGGGGGGGACACCACCAAAATACAGACTCTGCAGTTTCACTTTTGTTCCTAAATCAGGGCTAGCTTTTCAGCAAGCTTCCCATGAAGCCAGACTGCAAATACAGGAAGAGGGCTCTATGCCAATAAAAGGGAAAAACACACTTGCAACTCGTTTATTTTGCCGCTGTTGGAAACAACCATCCCCAAAGTGCCTGATCTAGTGGGAAACTCTCCTGACAATCCCTGTCAAAAGGAACAGGACCCAAGCATCTTGGTAATTTCAATGGGGCAAGAGAACTTCTTACTGGATTGTGCTGTCTGCAGCATCTCGGCCTTGACACCCCGTAGCTTTAAATGAAAGCATTCGTACTTATTTCCTGGATGAGATGCTGGGGTCTGTTCAGAATCAGAACACCCCATCACTGCTACACAAGGGACAGACAGCATCCCAGTGTAATAGACAGAAAATGTAAGAGACGGACTGTAGCAGGGCAGCTTTAAAGCATATCTGGCACTTCACAGAGTTTTCGTTCATCATCCCTTGAAGGCTTTTTGGGATGCCTCCAGAATTTGTTGGAAATCTCTCTATGGTAGAGAAACTTGGGCATCAATAGCTTGAGTGAAGCTACTGAAAGGGTGTGTAGGGGGGATTCATAGAAGCTAGCGATGTTCATGTAGGACCACGGAGCAGGACTGCTCAAGGCTACTCAGATGCCAACACAGTAGCTGCCCTCCCTATAAACTCCCAAAGTGACGTGCTTTCAAAGTGCCTCTCCTTTGCAAGGCAGCCCCTGAGGCTCCATTGCTCCAGGTTCTGTTCTCAGTTATTAGAGTCTAATGCTGGAGCTATATTTTCCTGGCCCTTCACCCAGCTAATCTGGGCCAAGACCGGAAGGATCTCATCCTGAAAGGATTTCATTTCTCACTTTCATCCTACTGATCCATGTTAGTTTGTTTTCCTATAAGGAAACTGTTGTACATCAAGCAGTCCTGAAAAAATCTTCTTTGAAAATCGTGGGATTTTTTTTTTTTTTTTTTTTTTTAGCCACCTTGATTTATATCAGCATGAAGTGCTTGGCTGTATGGCTCACGGTGATGAGGGCAGGCAGACATAAACATCAACTTGGGTGACCCATTCAAAAGGTTTGTGTGAATCAGATGTCCTGTCAATTTTTCTTTAAATAAGGCCGTAACCCTAAGCACCCTTGCTAAAACAAGACCAAATGAACACAATGGGACTTACTTCTAGGTAAATCTACCCAGGACTGGGCTGCATCACTGACTCCAAGAAACAAGCAAGCATGCTTATGCTGATAGCCACTTCACGCATTACATTGTGCTGTGCGAGTGAGACAAGTGTGTTTGTAAACATGCACATTATGTAAGCACACACATCAGGGAGCTAAAACCGGCTGCAACTCTGCTGGGTATACAAGGAGCGACAACCCCAGTTTTGCTGCCATCAGATGCATGAAATGGTTCTCAGCATGTGCCAATCTGGTTCTAACAGATGAACATTCAGTGGGAAGTTCATGTCTCCTTACCCTTTTTGAATTCCTCCAGCATGGCATCCAGCTTGGTATCGTGGAAGACAAAATGGACTGGGTGATTGTAGAACTTTGTGATCGTTTTGAGGGTGGTACAGTCATCAGGATCTACAAAAGCTAGATCTTTCACATAAAGTATATCCACAATGTTGGACCGCTCCTCCTCATAGACAGGGATGCGGGTATAGCCACTCTCCATGATCTCTGACATTGTATTGAAATCCAATATGCCATCACTGTGGATCATGAAACAGTCATGGAGTGGGGTCATTACATCCTCTACTGTCTTAGTCCTGAGCTCCAGAGCCCCCTGGATCATATTTAGCTCCTCCTTCACCAGGTCATTGTAAGGCTCTGTTATCTTCAGCATCTCCACCAACTTCTCCCGATTGTACACAGTGCCAATCTCCTGGCCGAGCACCCAGTCCAACATCTTGCTGATAGGGAAGGAGAGGGGGAAAGTCAACAGCATGAAGAATTTGGTGAGAACGATGGTGTTGGCACCCACTGCCAAGCCGTGACGGGAGCACATGGCCTGCGGGACAATCTCCCCAAAGATGACAATGCCCGAGGTGGAAGCAACGACAGCCCCCAGCCCAGAGCCAATGAGGTCATCCAGCAGGATGGTGAGAGTGGTGTTGACCAAAACGTTCCCCAGGAGGAGGGAACAGAGCAGGTAGTTGCCCTTCCGGCGGATGGGCTCGATTTTGCGGGCATAGCGCTTCTCTGTCTCTGTGCCACAGTTCTGCACAATGCGCAGCTCCATGGGGTCCAGAGCCATGAGGCCTAGGTTGAGGCCGCTGAACATGCCCGAAAGCGCCAGGAGGAGACATATGAGGCAAATCTGAAACCAGAGAGGCAGCAATCGCGGCATCTCCTCAAGCACTTGGATGAGAGCATCATTACCCTCTAGGCGCACCCGGGGCTGCCCAGGGCCACTCTGGGTGCACAGCACATAGAGCTTGGAATGCTCACCCTTCCGCAGCTTCTGGACCCTCACAGAGACCACGGCAGAGGTGTTCCGGATTTCGTGCAGATGAGGTTCCACCTCCAGGTCCTGGGTCTTCTCCGGGCAGGTCGCATTGGCCCAGTTGAAGCTGGAATTGGGCTGGACTACTTCGGAGAAGGATACCAACTCGAAGACGCGGGCATGCATCCCCATCCCATAGAGGCGAAGGTAAATCTCGCTGCCTTCCAGCACCTGGATAATGCCGAACTCCTGGATGTCAGGGACCGACTGGCTGGAGTTCTCCAGCCTCATGCCCAGGATCAAGGGGCCGCTGCAGACCGGAGTCTCTTTCCCCGCGGCGGCGTGCCAGAGCAGGCTCCACAGAAGCACCAGCGGGAGCAGTGGGGGTCCCCCGGCCTCGCCCCCTCCGTGCAGGCGCCCTCTCGAGCTCAGCGCCATGTTAGACTCGGCTGGGCGGCCGCTCCACTCGCTAACTTTGCTCACAGGCGCTCCAGCGCGGGGAGGGTGGAGGGAAGCGCACGTCACGGACTCACCTCTTTTGCATACGACACGCCCCATCCCCGGTCACCCTAAGGAGGTCCCAGGTTGGGCGGGGTTGCGCAGTTAAGGAGGCGCCGGGGCGGGTGACGTCGGCGCTTTGGCATCTGACGCCCGCTCGCCCCGGTGGGCGCAACCAGGAAAGAGGCGGATTGGAAAGTGCGCTTTATATGATGGGCGGGGAGCACCGCCCCTTGGATTTCGGCTCTAGCGGGGAACGACGCTGTGTACCGGCATTTTAGTTGCTTATTTCCCCACGCGGAAGGGAGATTTTATTTCATTTTTTTGCTGTTCGTTTTTGTGATTACTTGTGATTGTGTTTTTTTGGGGTGGTGGTGGTGGTGGATTTTATTGTTTTTAAACGTTGAGCTTCTGTCTTGGGTGGAGAAGCACGATATAGATATGATGATAGGTAAATAAATAGAATGATGGGCTGGGCTGGGCTAAGCCGGGCCCCTGGTGGGGAATCCGTGTGAGGAGAGGGGCGGCGTTTCTCATCTCTGAATGACGAGTTGCACCTATTAAAGCGTTAAGACTTGCGGAGCAGGCCTCTGAACATTTACTGGGGGGCTCATTGCAGTTTCTGAGTAAACGTGCAAAGGATCGGATTGTAGTGTTGCGGGAGCTGGGTTCTCTTCTCCATTTTTTTCGTTACTTGTTTTTTGGGCAGGCCCGTGTGTCTTTACAAGCAGGGTGAGGAGAAGACATTAGGTAGGCAGGTTGCGTTTGTCCCCTATGAGCATCCGATATATGGCAACGGCACTTCATCTGGGGGTGGTCTGCTTGGCACTTGCTGACAAGAGGTCCGTGCCCACGTGGGAGCCAAGTTGAAAACAGGGACATGTGCTGTGTCCCTGCTAGAGTTGCCAAACTCTAGGTGGGTAAGAAGAACCAAGATACAGCTGTGATACTTTATTTGAAATATTTATCCACTATAACCTTTGCATGTATATATGAGTGTGTTTGGTAAACAATATAATTGACTATACAATGTTACACTGAGTAATTATATCACAACTCTATTTTGGTTCTTCTTAACCGCTTTTCCCGTGATCTTTGGTATACTGCTAACCTCTAGGTGGGGCCTGAAGATTTCCTGGAATTCCAGCTGATCTCCGGATGACAGAGATCAGTTCCCCTGGAGAAAAGGGATGCTTTGGAGGGTGGGCTCTGTGGCATTACACCCTGCGGAGGTCCTTCCCCAGAAACCATCCCCAAATCGGTCGGGGAGTCGACATCTATTGGATGTCCCAGGCCCCCGGTCCATCAGACTTACCATGACCAGGAATAGGGCGTTTTTGGTGGCGGCTCCTATCTGGTGGAATGAGATCCCAGAGGAGATCAGGGCTCTGCGGGACCTAGCACAGTTCCGCAGAGCCTGCAAGACGGAGCTCTTCCGCCAGGCTTTTGAATAGGAGCCGCCACCACCAGTGTACCACCAACGCACTATATCATCAACGCCCCATTTATGGACATCAGGATGTGGGCATATACCATCAATGCCCTATAATTACTGCATCAGGGGTGAGAACGGGGCGTTTAGGGGACGGCCATCTTGTCTTTAGGAACAGTAATCTTGGAATTGGTTGATAGGAGCACCAAATGTGTTTTAATTATGACATATTTTTAATATTTTGTATTGTATTAGTGTTTTGTTTTGGTGATACGATTGTTAGCCGCCCTGAGCCTCCGGGGAGGGCAGGATAGAAATGTAAATAATAAATAATAAATAAATAAATCTCCAAAAATTTCCCAGCCTGGTATTGGCAACCCTGGGGACTAAGAGAAGCCTGTGGTGCTGTTGCTTCTCTTGAGCCCCTCCCCATGACCCCCACTGCCTTGCTGGCCTCCTTAGACCTATGTGGAGGGGAGAGCCTTTCCCTAAGGAATCTTCTGCAGGCACAAACCTCTGAGAGATCATTAACCTTGGCCCGGAGCAATTTCTGCGCTCCCCCCCCCTCTTCGTCAATTTAGCTTTAATTATTCAAGAGTTCTAGGCTTGTCATTTTCTTTTAAAGTAAACACAATAATGGCAGGAAGGAGCAGAAAAACAACAGGTTCTCCTCCTCCAGCTTTCGATCCCCATGAAGTGTTTGGTCAGCAGCAACCAATGTAGAAACTATTTAGTGTCAGCGTGGACAAGGAAACTTCCAAAAAGAGCCCGCTGCAACTGACAACACAGCACTCATCAAAGGTGGTTTTCGATAGTGTTAATAAAAGGACTGATTGTAGGAGTTTAATAAACTTCTAGATGATTTTTTTAAATTGTTATTGACTATGAGTCTTTGGCTACATATTTAAGTGAGCAAATCATGACTAGAGACCTGCAATCAAAGATGTGACGGGTTCTATTTGAATCATTATGTGAATCTTGGGTCTCCTCGCCACTGTAGATTTTGCTCTGCCAGCAGCACATTGATACTGAGTGTGGTGAGGTTTTTCCAAAAGCCCACATGACATTCTATTGTCTGGGTTCTTTTCCTATATTTATGCCTTCTGCCTTGCAAATCCCGGGCTCCCCCAGACCATCTACATAGGTGTGCTGCCCTCCAGGTGGCACCTGGACATCTCCCGCTATTACAGCTCATCTCTAGATGACCAAGATCAGTTCCCCTGGAGAAAATGGCTGCTTTGGAGAGGGGACTCTATGGCATTATGTGCTGCAGAGTTTGCTCCAGGCCCATAGCCAGTGGGGGGCCCTGTGGGCGGCACACTCTGTTGGATTTGCAGCGCCCCACATGCACCAGTCCCTGTCAAGATCCAGCTGCCTGCTCCTTCCCTCCTGACCACCGAGCAGCTCCTTCTGATCTCCCCCCGTCTGCCTTGGGGAAAGAGGCAGCCCTTGCTTGCCTCGAGCCGGTACTGTCGCGGCAGTGCCAGGGGCCTGGGTCAAGCCTGCCACTGGGAAGAGCTCTTGGGTGAGCCGCTTCCTGCTGCCCCTGGCTTGGTTCACTGTTACTGCTGCGCTTTGCTCCCTGCCAGGCTGAGAGCTTGGGAGGCTCTTGTGGGGACCGGAGGCAAAGCGAGGCTTAGATCCCAGCTTCAGATGCTGCACCCATTGGGGGCCGGTGGAGTTCCTGGCTGCCTGAAACCTGGCAGTGGGTGGCTGTGCCAAGCACAGCAACTTTTGAGTTCCATGGAAAATGCTTTTTTTTGGGGGGGGGTGTTGAGGAAGATCAATTTGCTCTGGAGGAGAAGAAAGGGTTGGGGATTTAACTGCCCCCTGGCGCTCCAGCACCCTTCCCTGGAAAAAATCCTGGCTATGGGGCTGGTTCGCTCCCTTCTCTAGCCCCCACCCTCACCAGGCTGCACCCACCAAATCTCCAGGTATTTTCCAACCTAGGGCTGGCAACCCCACGTCTGCAGCACGCCGCTCTTCTGGTCCCAGGGCTTTCTATGAGGTTTTCACTGTAGCCAGCCGGATTTTCTGTTTTTTATTGATTTTATTCAAAACATTTTTAGGCTGCCTTTCTATCAAATCAGGTTCTACAAGGCAGCAAGCATAAAAGAACTTTAAAAACATTTAAGCCATTAGAAATACAGTTAGAATTATTAAAAAATAATTCAATTAAAACACATGAACAAACAACACTAGAAGGAGGGTGCCGCATCAGCACATTTTTCAGCACCCCTCCGGCAATTAGAATATTCACTTGCAACCATCCTGCTATATCACACTGCTGTATTTGTAGACATGTGGCCTGCTTCCAGGTGCCTGCCACATTATATCTTATTACACTTATTGTATCATATTATACCTTGTTCTTTGTTCCCTCTTTCTCTCGGTGTGCAGGGCAACTTTCCAAGAATATGTTTCTTTTGTGGAAAAGGAGCACTAGAACCTTATATTTATAACAATTTGTTGTGCACATTGAGCAGGTATTATGGGACCAAAGTAGTGGAAGACAGAGTTACTGCATCTGTAGCAATTGTACAGAGGAGAGAATTTTAGCAGATGTTTCTTTTCTTACCCATGTACGACAAACTGCACTTGCAAAACTACACAAATCACTAAAGGAACCATCCTTGACCGTGCTTGCACAAAGTCACCCTGACTGATGGCCATATTGCATCGGGGTGAAGATTCCACCTAAATTTAAGTCCAAAACTGAATTCTGTCCTGAAACATCTTCACTGTGAACAAAACTCTTCTGTCCTTGTATCTGACAATATCCTTTTGTAAGCAGCCAGACCCTGTCTGCAGAAGGGCAGTTTGTACAAGATGCCCCTCTTTAAATATCACCCCCCAAATCCTTGTGTGTACTGTACAGCCTGGTCTAGAAGTGGAAACAAAATGGAGCTGGAGCAAACAAAATGAATGCTGGCCAAAGACTAGCCTGGGAAAACTTTTGGGAAGGTGACTGAGGGCACTAACTTGCTAATAGATCTTCCCCCACCCTCAAAAGAGATACTTAATGTCCTCAATGGGCTTTTCAAGAAAA